ACAATCGTCGGAGGAAGGTCATTTCACGCAGCTACTAACCGAAATGAAAAAAATTTTGCCTAATGAATGTGTGTGCTCTGAGCTTGAAAATCTTCTTACTGTGTCCCCGCCGTGTGTTTGCTGGGTTAACGGTGAAAAACCCGTTGGCCAAGCTATGTTCAAACAGGGCGTAAGTAAGAATTAGGTCCCCTCAGAGGCGACGATACTCCAAGGGAATGAGATCAAGCATCGCGAGACGCGTTTCGTAGTCCACGGATTTGAGGCCGGCAACCATTCTCGCTGCGGCTCGCTGGACATGCCCAATGAGGGTGACGTCTTTCGTGCGTCCTGACTAGACAAGTTGATTGGCGTATTCCAGCTGCGGTCCGACGTAGGCCCCATATAGTATTTGGAGGTTCATGCGGGTGATACGGGAGGAGGTTCGTCGGAATTGAATTTTTCAAAGCTATGACGTGTCCCTGATTGACTGAAGTAATCGATCAACAAAGTAGAGAGTGTCAGTCCAAACTCTTGAGTCCGATTTAGGCAACCCGGGCCCTCAGCGATGCCGGGAAATCATTCCAACAGGCTTTTCCGAAGGAGGCATGGTTGCTTCGGTGGACATTTGTGTTTTACATACCTCAAATCAAACTTAACTACATATCCAAGACATCGCACTCGGAACCTTAGGTTGCTTTCATCTTGGTTAGCCATATTTTTATGCTGCGGACGACTGTAAGGAAAAGTAGCAGCGTCCTGTGAGGAAACGCGCTAGCGGGGAAAGTCGAAGAGGAATCGGGCGATGGTCCTCGGAGTCAAACCGCAACCTCGCTGGCCTCTACGCACAATCGTATCCCACCACAACACCGACCACGGAGTATCGTTATTGGAAACGTCCGTTAGGCGACTGAGCCTATTCAGACCAACCGTATGTTCGGGTGTGGGTCACGCGGCTCGGTCCAGTCAATCATTTGCTTCAGTGTGGTTTGGGTATGAATCGGCTATCGTGTACCGTGTACAAGTGGTCTGTACTGGTTCAAGCGGCTCCCTCTTGAAGGGAAAACTAGCCCGGCAGCCAGAAACAAATCATAAATGCGACAATGTCGGGAGTGCCCGATTTCCAAAAATATCCTCCCCCCACTCTTGCATGCCCGAAACGCAATGAGAAGCAACAGCTTCGCCAAAGCCGCCTCGGGAAGATAGCTGAGTCCCCAGGTCAAGTGCCAACGGTCGATTAGATGGCTGAGCAGCCAATCGGCGTCGAGGCCAGAGCGCTTGACTCTATCCTAGGGGCGACGCTTGGTAGTCACTCCATGACACGTACTGTGAACAGCATGGCGCTTTCCCTAATCTTGCATTCGCTTGTTCGCAGGAACGCTGTTGTGCTCTAGCTAGGTAACTCTTCCCCCGTTATTAAGGCTCTGGAGCAAGGGGTTGCAGGTAGCTGCAACAAATACCGTCCATTTGGACGATACCGTCAGATTTCGCCCAATATCAAGGGGCGGTCAGGACAAGTCCCCGGCATTCTTCGTAGCTTGTAACAGTTTGCCTTCTGCTACACCACCAGAAATTATCAGCTCTTCGTTATACTCATCCATCATTTGGAGTACATGCCACACGACGACGAACGCTGACTAGTAACGAAGAGCGTTGCAGAAGTCTAACCGACGCTCGCGCCCGGTGGTATTAGTACGCCATAATTCTCGCTAGATTTCCACGCCCAGTTATGCGCGTGTTTGCCTGTTACGTGTGCGTTTTGTGTTCCTGTCTCTGCAGAGCGTTCATAAGTTTCATGTACCGGACATGAACGCGCAGGTAGCCCACGATGCCCATAGCAACGTACACTTCCTGTGAGATTGTTCGTGGCCTGTTTCGCCATCTTTACTCGGTTGCGAGTATACTGGTGTCCTTTTACCCCTATATACGTAAACTATCATGGTGCCCGCTGCTCTCAAACTTACGGTAATCCCACCCAGCTTGTGAATTTTCCCAGCCACAATTGCTCAACACACTAATACCGCACGGACTCACGGATTTATGCACGTGCCTGGGGCTTTCGCCAAACCTAACTGGTGATGTTTGTCCTCGTCGTTCTGCAGCTTACGTTCACCTGAAAGGCATAATCGGAAAACGTCGTGGCATTACTCTTTAGAGCTCCCAACGCTGGACATTTCGCGTGCCTTTGCAAGGAAAAAGTCACCCAAAAGGGATTCAAACTGGGCCCTAGATGCAGAGTGAACAGTCGTCGAAGAAGATCATTCCATGAACCAACTGCTGCTCAATAAAAAGATGCTCCCTGATCTTTAAAATTCTCTTACCATTTCCCTGTTAGTGATTCGTTGTGTCGTTGGTGAGAAACTTATCAGTCAAAACTTGTTCAAAAAAGGCGTAAGAACCAGGTCCGCTTTATTCAGTAACACAGCCACGGTAATTCAGCAACAGTATTCTGCGGGACAAGTTCCAGAACTACGAGACGCGTCTCACATTCAGCCAGCATGAACCTTCATAACGACTTGTTGGACTAGTTCAATGAGGATCACGTCCTTCTTACATCTCGGGCACACAAAGTAGTCGGCATGTTCTAGTAGCGGTCTAACGTAGGCCTCCATAAAGTGACCGGAGGTACATGCGAGTAGTACACAGAAAGCTGAGCCGACTCACCCGATAAATGGCAAATGCCATTTAAGGGGATTTTTTGTGATGGAGTGAGAATAGTGCCAAATACCTGAATCATTCCTATATCTATCGTCGAGATGTATTCTGAACCATACTCACCTTGCACGATGAGGGCGTCCACTGAATCTCCTCGGAAAGATACGCACGCAACTCGCGCCATTCACGGAGAGGTACCAGACCTGTGACCACCACTTTATGGCGTCGACATCCATTTGGAGGTCATTGGCGTTCGAACATCAGCAGTTCATATCGTCCTCAAAAGTTGGGCATGAACATCAAGGCGCATGTGCAGCAGGAGTCATCACAACTCGGGACTTTGTGGAACTTCGACAGAGACGGGTGAATAAGGGTGGGTTAGGCCGAAACCCCCAGAATCCAATGTAGGCTTCCTGCTTGAGTACCGTAAGACTCAACTATGTAGAGCAACAAATGTGTGACAGGCGACTGGATGCATTATATGTTGTAACTGTATTTTCCTCAGCTTAGTTCTCGGTCTGAGCCTCCCAAGCTAGCGTTCACGTCAAAACAAACACCAAAGGTGCACAAGGTCTATAAACGCCCAAAACGAAATCAGGAACAGTTGTACAGCGCTTCGTATATATAGCGTAAGCGGCTATAAGTTTCTGGAATTTCTGACGCGTTCTGGAGCTCCATTGGCAACCGGCATTTGGCCAATACTGGGTCATGATTGGCTGTTGGGTCCAGATTGTTGACCAATCAGATCTC